AGAAGGTCACGTCTTTTGAGATTGTTGAGATTTAGAACTTAGTTATGAAAATCTTGAACATGCAAGGAGCTGGTAATGATGGAATATCATCATTTGCACTTGCTATTCTTTTGCCCGTTATTAAACTCATTTAGGTAATTAAATGCAGCAGTACTGCATGAGAATACCAGATTGAATTGGATATACGCGAAACCGTAAGCATTTAGTGTATTTTCTCTTTATAACTGCTTAAGCATCAATTAGTTGGGTTATGATGTCAATTTCTAGTTTCTTGATTTCAGTATTCTTCATGTGTGAATATGAACTTTCTCTTGATACATATATCGTGAACTTGATATCCTTGCTTCACATTTCAGAATTCAGCACTGTGGTCTCTATCAAAACCATGAATTCTTTAGGTGTAACTTATAGGAATCAATATTCTGTGGGCTGATTTGGAAAAGGGATTTGACCATTACAAATTAGCTTTAATATTACTTTTGGTTATACTTGATATACACTTTCAGTTTATAATGCGAAATAATTAAAATATTTGGAGATTGGTATTCAAGAAATGTGGCAATTTCAATGTATGGTCCTTTCCAATATGTTTTTTATGCACAACATTTCTTCTGTTGTTGCAGAACCAAACTTTGTGGAGTGTGGATGAAGAAAAGAGACGTATCTGTTCATATCTCTTTACAACTGCTACAACTAGACGAGGTGAAAGCACTTTCTTCTCTCTTGTTATTGTGATATACGAATATGTATTGAACTTATCTCGCACAAGATATTCACAAACCAACTTGCTGCTTTGCATATCTCTTAGATTGTTCGGTGCGCAGTTGCATCATTTGGTGTTTTCGATGTAGTTATAAAGGGGAAACTAGTCTTGTTTGCTTGCCTTCTACTGTAATGGTTGTTTTTTACTTTGTTGCTTCGTTGTGTTTACATTCGTACTTGTTTACATGGCTGGCTATGAAATGATTTTCTAGAATTAACATCCACGTTTTCACCTTCATTATGATTTTTGGGATGACCGGATTTAGGCATGTTCTACATTTTGATATAGGGCACCATGCATATGTAACATCTAAGTTTTAAAGCGTTTTGTGAATTTTCGGGAGCCTGGTTTTCCGCTATTATATAGCAAGTTTGTGAGTTGGGGCACCATACATACGTATGCCATATTTATGTTGAAAACTGTCGTTCCCGACATTTGCCTCCTGTTATTCTCGATAGTTGGCTGAACCCCGACAGATGAACTGTCGTTCTCGACAGTTAGCTACGGGCATTCTCGACAGATGACGTATACCACTGTAAGGAAGAGTACAGTCATCTGTCGACACAGGCTTTGGTGACAGTATCTCGACACATGACGGTGGGCACAGACGACACAGCACGTGCGTCGAGAAACAACATGTCTGTCAAACATTCAAATGTCATTACCGCATGTATTTTCGTACATTACAAAAAAAATTTGCTAACATTTTATTTTGTTGAATATTGCATAGACAATTCATCATAATAAATGTTTACTGCAACTTTGGATAGATGATATGTTCTTATACATTTCTCGTATTACTTATTCCGATTGATGTGGTTGTATGCTCTGCGGAAGTACGCTTGTAATTTGTAATATTCAGTTGCTGTTAAATTATGGTCTGATCGTTATCGTTTCATCTGCAGATATTATGGAATTTCAATTTCTGGTGCCCGAGAATGTATGGTTGTCGGCACGTATCTCGCAACGGAGCAACTTAAAGTACATAAAAATAGTGATGGATAACTTTGACGACTAACTTCGGGCTGACTTTCGCGACTCCTGCCTTGGGTTTCTTGCTAACGTTTCGGAGATCCAGTTTTCCGCTCAGCTAATCCAGGCACTGGTGTGCCGAGGGATCCCTTGCGATAAGTCCCATGAGATGGGGTTCAACGTGCAGGGCCATCTTACCCCGTTTGGACTGTAGGAGTATGCTATCGTCACTAGACTACATGCTGGGTCGTTTCTGGAGGGTGATCGGTACACAAAGGCATTGGAGAAGAGGAGGCTAAAGGAAAAATATTTCAAATCGCTAGAGAAGATTTCATGTGCCCAGTTGGAGAAGGCCTTTCTCCGCGCTTCGATACCCCAGGCAGATAGATACAAGCTCGGGCTTGCTCTACTTGTGGAAGGAGTTATCACTGCTTCGGACCATAATGTTGGCATTGATGAGGATACACTTGCCATCATGGACGACCTGGAGCTGTTTTTTCGTACCCCTGGGCCAAAGTGGGGTATAGGTGTTTGTTAAAGGGATTCCGGGGTACTTGGGCACATAAAATGAGCGATGCGAAGACAAAGAACGAGAAGGACGTCAGTTACACAATTCACGGATTTTCGATTGTCATGCAAGTACGAACAACATTATGTTTATGTGTTTTGTTTGTCAATATTAGATCATGCCTCCACAGTGTTTGGACGGATATTAATGCGACATTTGTTTTGTTATCGTCCGGACAGATTTGGGCATATGAGGCCATGCCCGAACTTGGCGAACGCTTCGGTGAGCGTGTGGGTGAACGCTCGCCCCGGCTTCTGTACTGGACCTCCACCAAACAACCGTAGTAGCGTACATACGATGCGTTCTTCAGGGACGTACAGGTCATGGACATTTTTCATTTGCCTTTCCATTATTTTGTTTAATTGGGAATAGTATGCATTATATTTTAACTACATGTTCTCCCCTGTTTCTACAACTGCACGTGCACGCTACACTGCGTCCCACGGAGGCCGAGCGTTATCTGTCATACATCGCCAGTTTGGTGCCATTTCCCGATCATCCAATGCAATTTTTGGACGACCTCCCTAGGAGTGTTGTCGGGCCACAGTTCCATGAGGCGGCACTAGCTAGTGGGAGAGCTGACGGTAGCGCCGCGGAGACGGGCATGATGACGAGTTCGGTGCAGGGGCCAAGGACATTGACACATCTGCGAGCGATGGCCATCAGACACCAGAGGGCAATGGGGACGATGGGTCTAAGCCTGATGATAGTGGAGAAAGCGGTCGCGACCCCTCCAGCGAGATCGATGGTAGTGACAGCGAGGACGAAGTGGATGCCTCGGGACAACAGTCGGGTGCATTACCCACTCCAATGGTTGCCCCGTCCACATCTGGGGTTCAGGGTACGCGTGGTGGACCGACTTTGATGAGGAAGGACGTGGAGGGAATGTTGTATGACCAGCGCATCCTCTTCGAGATGAGGTTGCGGACCGTGAAGTTTGAAATCATGCAGCACCTCATCGAGGTGTTCGCCAGACTGAGGGACTTCATATCTACCTTGGTGCCCCCGTCTAGTGGCACCTCCACTTCCGCTGCAACTCCGGTCGTGAATGAGCCAAACCTTAGGGACGACCCCTACAAGGGTATGTGTTTATGTTACTGTTACTTCCATTTACAATATGTGTGCAATTTTTCCTATGCGTTTGCTTACAAATATATTTTTGAAATTGCAAAATTACTTCGATGTACATGGAGGCGACATGGACCTATGCCCGGATGACGGTGGCCGTCCTTTCCTTATCGGGAACTTGGAGGTGAATGGTATATCCGTTAGTTCTGTGTAACACATTTTTGGTCTTCGATGTCATCTCATCTCGTGATATGCTAGTCTATTGAATTTGACTGTAATACTAATTATTTTTTTGGTTTCCAAGTAGAAGGGCAAGGCAGCGACGTACGGAGCCCGCATGACAACAATCGTGCTGACGAGGCTGAAATGCAGGAGGGGAACGGTACGTGCATAAATTTTATATTTTATGTCATCTCATCTCGTGATATCTTTCTTGTCCTATTTTATTCGCCTTTACTTACTGTCTTCAATTTAAGTCGTTCAATAATTTCTTATTTTTTTTTAGTAGCCGGGGAAGGCAGCGACAAATGGAGCCCACACGACGATGACCATGCAGACGAGGGTGAAATGCATGCGGTGAACGGTACGTGCGTTCTTTTTTCATCTTCTGTCATCTCATCTCGTCATACGCATATGTATTCAATTTCACTCGTTCATTCATTTGTTCTCTGTCTTCCAACTAGACGGGGAAGGCGGAGACGAACAGAGCCCGGAGGACGACGACCGTACGGAGGAGGATGACATGCAGGACATGAACGGTACGTGCGTAATTTTTTCCAACTTTTGTGATTTAGGTTCTATTACCAAACACTTCCTCCCTATGCAAATGATAATTCATATCTTGTGTTTGTCCATTTCACCAAATTTCCTTTGAACTAGATCCAGAAGAGACTGTAGCCACCCTTCCCAGCGACGACAACGAGGAAGGCCCATCGACCCATGACGTCACGGAGGTGGACGGTATGTGCTTTTTTTCCTTCAATAATCTCGGGCTGAAATGTTTTATATGGGTGTTGACACAGAGTTGCCGGCACAAGTGACCTACCCCAGAAGGGAGGCAATGTGGGCAGCACAAACAGGCGGGAATCGACTCGTGTTCGACGTCCTGTACCACCTACCCGGACGCCATACACGAGGAGAAGGGCAAAGAGAGTAAAGAAATGAGTGAGTTCAAGTGGTTTGGTAAGGTCTGATGTAGTAGTAGATACGTTGTTGGTAACAAAGACATGATTTTAATTTGGTTTGTTTTATGAATGGATACGTTTGCTCACCCATATGCTACACGTTAAATTGTCTTATGTACAGTACATAAATGTATAATGCAAGTATGGGATGGTATTGTCGGTACATTTTGTGTGTATGCGTTGACAACATAATGCATTTACTGTTCATGAAATATGGTACACGTTAAACTGTCTTTTGTAGAGTACATATCGTTTTACTATAATACATGTTTAGTGCAAGCATAAGATGGTAGTGTTGGTAAATTTTGTGTGTATGCGTTGACGACATAATGTATGTATTGTTCATGAAATGTGAAAGAGTATATCAACATCATAACTAAAATGAATATATCATTATTCTTATACATCCCAGTCATATGACTTGTCAACACGAACTGACGATTTTTCATGTTAGAGTCCTCACAAAAATCTGCATGCCTATCCGCAACCTCAGCACGAAGTGTAGAGTTGACTCTTGGTCTGGTGGGATTCCTTCCTTGTCCTGAATTTTAGCTTTAACATTATCGCTGGTGTCGGAGCTTTCACCTTCACGGGTTATTGTCTTCCCAGTAAGGGTTTTGACAATAATCTGCCTGCCACCACAAAGCCTCAACACCAAGTGGAGTGTGGACTCCTTATGAATTTTATAGTCACCCGAACTACGACCATCCTGAATTTTTTAACCAGCGAACATGAGCCTCTGTGTTGGTCTGGTGCGATGCCTTCCTTGTCTTGTATGTTGGCGTCATCATTATATTTATGGCCTGTATTGTTCATGATATATGAAAGGGTTCGTTTTTTGATGATTAGATTGCCTGCACGTTTTTTACTCCATGGGTGAGTACATTTTCTGGTTCTTACGTTGATTGGATGGATAGTTACGAACTTGCTCTGCTCTGTAATTTCACTTTAGCAGACACCTGATGCAGGTAGGCAGCTGATTAATTCGGAAGGCTGATTTTTCAGTTGAGCATGTGCTTTCATTGAGGTGTGATGACGAATTTTTGTACAATGATGAAAAGGTGTAATTAATAGCACCAAATAACAACTAAAGGGATCCAAACCTAGGTTCATGCCTGAAGGTGCAACTGTGGAGACGATTACATCGTATCACATATGATGTGGTTGATGATGTCAAGGGGGTTTATGAGATTACTTCAATTCCATATGGGGATATGGTTAAGTAGAACGCGCATTGAGACAGGACATTTGTTTGTACTCTAATTATTTTGATGTTCATGGTACTTGATGAAGTAGTAGTATTCCGTACTTTAATTTTATTGGAGTTGAAAGTGTTATTCCTGCACAAATGAGTCATGGTATGAAATGATCTTGTGTGTAATGGAATGTGGTCGAACGATTAAGGACAATAATTATTGTAAAATTCGCATTACCGTAGAATGAAAAATTCGGTGTTATCTTTGCTACGTTGACCCCAACATTACAACCGATGTATGTTTATTTTGACATGCGTTTTAGTATAAATTCGCTTGTTCGTAGAAATTATAGTTTATTTTAAAAATGACTTGTAAAGTCACCCAATGTTCATCTTCATTGGCAGGGACATTAATTTTATCAATTTTTCATGCAATTCCTATGATTTAGAATTTAAAAACTGTATTCAATTGTGACTAAGGACTACAAAAATTTTGTAAATTAATGTAAGTACAAATTCATTGCAGGAATGTTGCCATTGCATGTCTTGCACATGGGTACAATTTACTCATAATTCTCACCATTTATGGACTGCATTAAAGTACACTTACACCCTTAACCATCACACCAATGGTCAATCAAGTGTTAAGTAGAAATGAAATGATGGTTGGTTGGTAAATTGCTTTAAATGTCCTCATATAACTCCAGTATAAAGCAAGGCTTGCACTCTTCAAGTGGGATATATGAAACTCTTTCTGAGGCATCTTGTAGCAGGAACGTATCAAAGTATTTGAAGTCTGTTTCTTTGTACGAAAATAATGGCATCGTCCATGGGGAGCAATTCATCGCTGGCACTTCAGGAACCGATGCAAACACCCGGTTCAACCCCGCTATGTCCCATCGTAATTTCTTCAGACGATGAGGAAGTGAGTTCGAATGATGGTAGGAGAGCCATCACTACCGTTCCCTTTCCGAACCTGAACGAAGTTACAAGTGATGAAGGTGAGTCTCCGAGAAATGTGCTTCAATGGGTGGTCCCATTTATGGATGCAGACGAAGTTCAACGTTATGAGGATGTAGGGCAAGGTCGCGTTCCATCGCCCGAGGTAATTGTTATCAGCTCGGATGATGACGGTGGGGAAGAAGGTTCAAGTGTTAGGTCCGAGTGAAGAGTCCGGCTTTGTTGCGTGTGTGGGTTTCTATGCATGTATGTATAGTGATTTTTTGTAACGGATGAATTTTGTGACGCTTAACCAATTCTGTAGCAAGTAGGAAACTCCCGTTGGCAAGTTATGTGTTTTTTATATTTTGTTAAGTGGAGCGTCGCACAACTGTCGAGAATGGCAAGCACAATCTGTCGAGAACGACAGATGAACTGTCGGGGTTTACTGGAAAATTTTCTGTGTATGTAGTATTCATATTCATATAACATATAGTTTGGCTGAATGAACACAACCTAATGTGTACATTGAACGTAGTTTCTGAACTTTGCGGACAGTGTTTTACGCTACAAATGATGTGTTCGTAATATGCATTTCAAAGGAAACTTGTATAATGGTTGAACTTTTTATATTCCGTACATTCTATTTACATGTGTTAACAATGGCAACAATGTTATACACAACAAAATTGTATTTTGGTTCGAGACAGTTATGCAGTGCGTTGTGCCTATTTGCATTCTGTAAATGTTAACATAACAAAGAGTAATGTTTACGCGTAAGAGAATGAAAACAGTAATACAATATTTACATTGTCATATACAAACAACATCGAGGGAACACTTCACTTACAACTTCAACCACTCATGTACAAAATGCTGCTTACATCGGACGCGGTACAGTGTGGCTCGAACATGTGGTCAGGTTATGACCAAGTCCACCGCAGCGATTGCATTTCCTGAGCCGTGTGGTGCACTCGTGTCTGGATCGCTTACGTCGTGTAGGTGGTTTACCTGGAGGACAATGCACACTAGGGGGCATAATAGGAGTACCTGTAATTTTGGAACATTCCAGTCCACTTCCGCTGAATAGGATATATAGCTTCTCCATAGGCACCCTTCTCGTACTCGGATGTGTAATACGGTGAGCAGAGATCATACAACGACTTACCTCTCAAGCAAGCAGCATGGGTTGCGTGAACGCATGTCATATGATTCAGTTGGAACTCACGACAAGTGCACGTCTTTTCGAAGAAGTCTACGATGTCCGTGTCATTGGATATTCCAACTTGTGTTAAGTTATTTGTCAAGCCATGCGCTCGCAGCCTAGTATCTGCTTCGAACGTCGTCCGTAACTCATTCTCTATCGTTGGTGACAGAACGGTACTGTATGCGGTTGCACTTGCTCGATGTTCATAAAACCACTTCTGCATAGTATGCCGAATATGTTCCACTAAGCACGTGATCGACAACGAACGGGCATGTTTCAACATTGAGTTCAAAGATTCTGTGTTGTTGTTGGTCAAAATGTTGTACCGTTGGCCAACAAATAGTGTACGTGACCAAAATGGAAAACCCACTCGCTCCAAGTACCCGTACGCTCTTGCACTAACCATATGAAACTGTCCCATAAGTCTTTCAAACTCTTTGATCCGGTATGTTCTTGCGGCTCTTTTGAATAGAAATATTGAACTTGCGTTGTTGTACTGGATTAAATTATTTTTCATATGCCAAACACAGCACCCGTGGTGAGCCCGAGGAAATAGGTGGGCAATGACATTTTCAATACTATTTTTCCTGTCCGAAATAAACACCAATTCGTCCGAGTCACCTATAAGATCTTTCAAATTTGATAAAAATCACATCCACGATCTATTCGTTTCGGCATCAAAAATCCCCCACGCTAACGGATAAATCTGTTTGTTGGCGCTTTGGGCAGTTGCCAGTAGAAGGGTACCTTTGTACGGACCTTTCAAGTGACTGTCGTCAACACAAATAACGGGCCTCATGTAGTGCAGGTAACCCCGAATGCTTGCACCGAAAGCTAGGAAAAGGTAATGAAACCTTTTACGAGAATCTACTTCGATGTGCGTTACTGTCCCTGAGTTACTCTCTCCTAGGACGTGACAGTACGAAGAAAGTTTTTGAAAGCTATCACCCGGTATACCATGTAGCATATGTAAAGCAGCAACCTTTCCCCTACGTGCTTGATGGTAACTAATTTTCACATCAAACTCACGTTTCATGTCACGAGCAATAGCGGTAGGATCATACGATCCGTACGTATTATCCAATTTCCCCATAATCTGCTCAGCAATTACTAGTGGCATGTGGATGTGCATTACGACGATAATCTATGGAACATGTGTGCAAATTGTTGAATTTGTGGATCATGAAGATGGCGGACTGCTTCACACTCGAAGCACGTAACATCCACTTACAATTATCGTCGGCACATACAACGGTTAACATTTTTTGGCTTGACCTGCTAACCTGAAATTGAAGCTTCTCTCGCAACGCAAGTAGACGAATTCTCGAGTACAACCCTTTCTTGGTAAAAGATATTTCCCTTTCGGTAAGATCCAGTATATTGACAATGGAAATCCAATCGCATGTATCCGGACTTTTGGAATGTGATAATAGTTCTTCGTCAACGTCAGCAATATTACCAGTATTTGTACCATGTAAGGGATCGTCGAACATCTCATGTAGTGGTGCAGTCAGAACATCGAAAATTGGAGCATCTGCTGCATTATTGTTTGGGACACTTTGTTGATGATTGAGGTCGTCGTCCTATACGGTGTGGTGATCTTCTACTGCGGTGAACAATTGGTGGCTGTAATTTGTATCCCTCTCCATTTCAACACTTGGCAGGTCAGTTTCCAAAGTCGTAACGCAGAGGGCAGTTTCCTTATTAACTGATATGTACTAATTTACATCTTCATCTTCGAGTATTTCGACCGGCGGTATATTCATGTTCGAAACTTTGAACTTCAATTCCAATTTTGTGCGCGGATCGAAAACACCAAGTTTCTCGTTCAACCGCAACAATAGCCCCGGTAGTGTGATACTGCTCGGCACTAAAATGGAAGTAGTTTTGTCCCCAGTCCACTTCCATTCGTCATTCACGTAAACAAACTTTCCCCCGTGTGACACGATGAATCTCAAATTGATGTTCATACTTAAAATGTTGGGAGTGCAACGATAAGAATTATGCGCAATCAAAATGTCGACTATATAATAGCATGAAAGTGACACGTTCCAATATTTAAACCTATGCTACTACAAGGTCAAATTAAGGGTGTCAAGAATTTTCAGCTGTCCAATTCGACAGTTTACTTATCTATCCCGACAATTTATAAATGTCGGGTACGACAGTTCAAATGTCGATCCCGACAGTTTCGAAATGTCGAGTTCGACGGTTGAAGTGTCGGAACTGTCGAGAAACTTCAAATGTGTTTAGTAGCATTAATGCTTATAATCATTTCTCAACTACAACATCACAACCTATTTCCAGAAATAAATGATTGAATGCTTCATTAAATATGGAATACTTCACATTTTTTAAAATATTTTTGGTATGTTTTTCCTTCAACAATATTAAAAAAAAAACAAGACCATCATGTTGTTTTTAACATTTTAAAAAAAAGTAAGCTATTACATAGAAATATAAACAATTCGTAACAACTGACCTTTCAAAATAGATGAGGAAGATTGATGAAATAATGTCTTTTTCAGGAAGAAGAAAATGGATGAAAAAGATGAATGAAATAAGGTTTTGTTTGACAATAAATTTGTTTTTTAATGTTAATAAGGGTTTTGAAGGATTTTATATTCATTTTTTATTAACTAAATTCTTATTTTACAATATAATATTCATATTTTCAATGATTATAATATACAAATTAAACAATTAAATCACAACATTAATTGTTTTGAAAAGCAATTATGAAGGAGCATTAAATACTCTAAAAAAAGTCAAATTAAGGTAATTTAGACATTTGACAACAAAAAAGTGACATTTTTGTACAAATTGTGTGCACATCAAAGTTTTTTGTGTATTTTCAAAAAAAGTGACATTTTGGTAAATTCCCCATTTTTTATTTTATTTAAATAAGAGAGTATGTATGTCATTTTACATTTTTTTTATTGAAAAATTAGATGAAAAGAACTTTTTACGCAATGAAGGGTGAAAATGTCAAAAAATAAAAGGTAGAAACGTCTTGCACAATAAAATATTGTAAGGTAAAGACGTTTTATACTAATTACCCTATAAAAAACACACAAATAATAATGAGGCCAAAACTTTCCCTTTTTTAATTCTGTAATTGAAATTTGAGAAACCTTACATCATGCTGGCATTAAATAATACTGCAATGAATGGAGATTTCAACTTCAATTTGTGGTGTCCAAACGAATGTGTAGTTTGCAATTACGTACAATGTTCTCTATGAGTAAAGAAATATTATCAAAATCGGCATCATTAGATTTGTGATCTTCCTCCTCCTGAGAATTATTTACAAATTTTCGAAACAAATTTCTTGATAATCAGCCATACAAACTTTTGATTAGTCGAATTCACAAAATGTCAAAGCTGTAATTTTTTATGAATAATATT